ATAAAATCATTAAAAACAATCAACTAAAATTAACTCCAGAGAAACAATTTATAATTGGTTTCGGTTAGTCGGCCACAATCAGTATGTTTCATACAATTCAAAGTTTAACTGTGCATCTACGCGATTTTCCAAACCAGTTAATGTAGCACGACATGACTGACACATGAAATATATATCGTTGACCGAAAGGTGTATAACATGACTGCGAAGTCGGGTACCATGATGAGAAGGTTTTCCAGACGTCTGGTCACACCTGTACCGTGTCCTTACTTTGAAAGAAGGAGCCGCTGTCAACCAAACCTGCACCACAAGTCCGGAAGATGTAGGGATACACCAGTGTGAGTCCTGGTGTTTACAGGGAGTTGGATACTGGTATCTTTAAGAATTGTTACGTGCGTGAGTTCTCATGTGTTGGCGGAGGTTGGAATTGTCAGCGAACCCTCTGCCGCAAGTCTGGCATTCGTATGGTTTCTCACCTGTGTGAGTCCTTATGTGTACACGCAGTGTGCTACTGTTAGTAAACCCTTTGCCGCAAGTGTGGCATTTGTAAGGTTTCTCACGTGTAAGAGTCTGCAGGTGAATCCACATGTGTGATAGGAGATTTGAGCTTTGAGTAAATCTTTCGCCGCACGTCTGGCATTTGTAGGGTCTCTCACCCGTATGCAGCCTAATGTGTACCTGGAGATTGCCAGTTTGAGAGAATCTTTTGCCGCAAGTCTGGCATTTATAAGGTTTCTCACCTGTGTGAGTCCTCATGTGCACACTAAGAGAGTTACTTCGAGCAAATCCCTTGCCGCAAGTCTGGCATGTGAACGGCTTCTCGCCTGTGTGGGTCCTCGTGTGCACACCGAGATGGCTCTTTTGAGTGAATCCTTTGCCGCAAATCTGGCATGTGTAGGGTCTATCACCTGTGTGAGTCCTCGCGTGTCCTCGGAGGTCAGCACTCGTCGCTGAAGTGTCGCCGCAGGGCTCGCCGCCGTCCAGTTTATCGGCGGCGTGGGTCCGCAAGTGGGCGCGGAGGAGAGCTGCCCTCCTGAAGGCCGCCCCGCAGGTCGCACAGCGGTGGGGCGCCTCCCTGGCGGCGTCCTGCTGGACGTGGTCCTCTCCGCCCTGCGGTTGATACCCGCGAGCCCTAGCAGCACCACGAGCACCAGCAGGCGGCTCTGAGTCGGCTGTAAAGGAGAACGCGGAAGGGTGAAGAGCGTTCACGCGGCATTGTCAGCAGGGGGCGGACAGAGTAAGGGGGGG